GCGGAACATGTCCCTGAACTGCTCCCAAGTAACAACAGCTCTCTGATCATCAGTGTACGACCCAGTCGCAAGTCTCCACCAGTCCTTGGCCCCAAACCTAAGCAGGTTCAGAGCACACCTGACCTTCTGGTCAGCAGGACACGAGCAGGTGAAGAAACACCCCTCCACATCTGAAATCCATCTCATAGCCTTGATGGGATCCTACGTCCCATCAAAAGTAGGGGGCTTCATGTTATCGAAGTCCCTGTACTGAAAACCTCTACCAAATCCTCCCCCTGCCGCTGATACAGCTGATGCAGCTGCTGCGGCGGCTGTCTCTGCAAGGGCTGCGTAGCGCTCATCAAAATACTCCACCATGGCGGTCTTAATCGACCCGAACATCTCCGGTAACTGAGCCCGGAATGCAGCAGCAACCTCATCATGCAGGATCTCTCGAATCCTGGCATCCAACTCCTCTGTACCCATCTGCACCACCGGCTCAGGTGCTGTCGGACCCTCCTGGCCTCTGTCCCCTGATCCTGATCCCGAACCGGATCCAGCCACGAAGCGCCTCGTCATCACCATTCTGAAACATACCACAAGATATCAGATAATCCATATAAATAACTGGGAGCCAACTCCCTACTAACCCTAGGGATTGTGACTTACTTGACACGCGTATGGGTCCTGTGCTTTCAGTAGTACGGGCCCATACTACCTTCCACACCTACCCATATTTGTCTCAAGCATCATCACAATGCCCTAACTGAATACACAACATGGCGAGCGCTCAATCCTCACCCTAGAGGAATGATAAACATCTCATAATTGGCCTCCCGACCTCACTCAACCCACCTATCCATGAAACTTCCATCAACCATGTAGCACTAGTATATGCTAGCCATACATAACGCTGGACCCTATAGACTTTCGAATATCCAATCCTACCCTAAGCTCCCATTCAAACAAGAACAGAACATAAGGCCAAATCAAACATTCTCAGGCTATAAGATCTTAATTATGTATAACTGTGATGCATACACTAAGCAACTACAGTAATGATGTCAATTTCATATAAAGGAAACCCTTGGCTAGCAGGCATCATGAAATCAGACAATTCTATCGTGCAATTTCTGAAGATCCCTAGCCTAGTACTAACATGATGTTCTAACATATCACATAATCAAATAACTTGTATGGTATTTTGGGGTCTACTTACTGGCTCCGGCTGATCGTACACCCTGCATCCTCCTTTATTTATTTTGAAAACCATTTTAGAAATTATTTTGAAAACCTTTCCTTGATTTGAGACTGGATTCACACGAATGTTCCTCCAATTCACTCAAACCAAGGCTCTGATACCAACTTGTAACACCCAAAAATTTCAAACAAATTTAAACTTTTAAAACATGTCAAGTTCATCAAAACATTACAACTTTGTTTTCAAATATTATTTATCAGAGTATTCCCAGAAACATAAACATAATATGAGGAGCTGTACGATCATGCCTTCGCCTTGCCGCGATTCCCTGATGTACCTGAAACAATAAACTGAAACTGTAAGCCCGAAAGCTTAGTGAGTTACCCCCAAAATACCGATACACATACAGTCCACATAACCATATCAGTAATATCATATCATAACAAACTGAAACAGCATACAATGGGTCCACAGCTTTACGAGCTGGATTACCCCTGGGCCCTCAGTACGAGTCTGGAATGCCTACCGGGCCCTCAGCTCGTATCTGGAATGCCATCGAGCCCTCAGTACAAGTCTGGAATGCCTACCGGGCCCTCAGCTCATATCTGGAATGCTCTCGAGTCCTCAGTATGAGTCTGGAATGCCTACCAGGCCCTCAGCTCATATCTGGAATACTCTAGGGTTAGTTGGCTACCGCACGGAGCAGTACAACCTCAACCCATCCCACATAACATGTAACATATAACATAACTACTGAGCATGCAATAATCATATAACATCATAGGTAGTCCTACCCGATCCACCTAACTGGAATAACCACTAACATGCAACACTGACTCATACTCAACATCCAATACTGCTAGGATAACACATCCAATGGGCCGTCCTTGGTGCCTTAGACCCCTTAGTATAGTGAGGATAACTCACCTTGCAACTGTCGTCTGAAACTAGAAAGCTCAACTCCCGGATCACCAACACGAGCTCCACCACCTATAGTTACCATAAAACCCTTTTTCATAAATCTCCAAACTACCAGAATACCCTCAGAAGTCAACTGGTCAACCTTTAACTCGTCGAGTTCATACGTGTCCAAGAATTGGGAGAAACCCTATCCGACCCGCCGAGTCTTCGAACGACTCGCCGAGTTCAAGGCAATCTTCAACGGACTTGTCGAGTTGTTCATCCAACTCGTCGAGTTCATGGCCATCTTCAACGGGCTCGCCGAGTTGTTCATCCAACTCGCCGAGTCCTTGCAGACCTTTATCCATGCAGACGCTTTTTAAGCCATGGCAAGGTTCCAGATTACAGATCCAAGCTTCTAGGGCATGTTTATCACGTAAAGTCGCAAACTTTACGTGCATGCAAAGCTTTAAGACCCTTAAATGGCAAAACTAAGCTTGCAATGAAGTCTCACACTTGAGGGAAGGCTCCTACTAGGCAAGGCTGATGACTTTATGGATCTAGAGGTCAAAAGGGAGTCCAGATCTGAAGTTACAACTTTAGATCTTAGCTTAAACATGGGGAGCCTTTCATAAAACCCATCCAAAAGAGGTTAAAAGAGAGATGAGCTAAAGGAACAGCTTAATACCTTCCAGAGAGTGACAACTGATGAATCTCTTAGCTCCCCACGAGTTCCTAGCCTTGATTTCCTTGCTTCCCCAAGTGTTTCCTTCTCCAAAGTTCCTCCTCCAAGCTTGAACACACCAAAAGAACACACACACACGATTTAGGGTTTGAGAGGGACAAGGGGCAGTAAAGGGGAGGCTGGGGGAGGCCAATGATCCTTTAAATAGGGTGCAAAACCCCGAGATTTAGGGGTTCATCTGTCAGCTCCTACTCGTCGAGTCCCTTCTTGGACTCGGCGAGTAGGTCATTAAAATACGTGGACCAACCCGCTGCTACTTGACGAGTAGGCCAATCAACTCGTTGAGTAGCCCTTGAAATCAAGAACTCACACATTAAATCAATACCTGAGAATCGGGGCGTTACATTAATGTTTGTATGAGTCTTTACTAATCATATTAAACATCTTACAACATTTGTGGGTTTATTTTAAAGATTCATAAGTACTATCTTCCTAAGATTTTTTTTATCTTAAAGATCAGTCCCCGTATAAAGGGATTCAAGATTATGTTCCACAGTGTTTGAGTGTTTTACATTATTGTCTTGTTTTTAATTTCGTCAAACAATATGACAGTTTCTACTCCTTTCTTATAATCATATCTAATCGAGAAGGATTTATCTGATTTCTAGATGAAACTTGGTAATTATAATAATAATTGGATTTATTTATCGCAATTAATCGGCATATAATTCTCAATATTATTTGTCTGTTTCCTTGCGTGTCTGTTGGTTCTTATTTTCAACATTAGCTCCACATCAATTTTTCTCTTTTTTTTTCATATTTCCCAACCCAAAACATATAGAATCATCTTTCTCAACCCACTCAATTTTTAATTTTAAAATAAACACAAACTAATAAAAATCATACAAAACTAATTTACAAAATATTAAAAACATACAAAACTATTTCACAAACTAATTAAAAACATATATTTTTTTGGTACAAATATAAAAACATAATATACAAGTGATCATTACATGGTTGAAAATGGTGGAGGCGGGTTAGGAGAGCAGCATATCGATCCACCACTTTCAACGTTGATGAAGGAATGGTGTCAGCGGTACATTCCCTTTTTGCCATGACTTCATCCTCCTTAAGGAGAAAATAATCAATTGTGCTACAACAGTTTTTGTTTACATTTTCTAAGTTCGAAAAAACTCATGTCATTTTTGCAAAAAATAATAAAATTCGTAAAATTGCGAAGTGGTTTTTGCGAAATTGGTGTAAAAGAAGTTATTTTGCGAATTTGCGGAGAGATTTTTGTGAAGTTGGTGTGAGAAAAAACTTACTTCACTGATTCGAGTTTCGATAGAAATTAAAAAGTTGTGGTATATATATATATATATATATATATATATATATATATATATATAACTTACTTCACTAATTCGAGTTTCGATAGAAATTAAAAGTTGTGGTATATATATATATATATATATAATATATATATATATATATATATATATATATTAGGGTTAGGTTCATGTGAGACGGCCTAATTTTGTGAGACCGTGAGACGCAATCCTAGCCACTCATTTTGTAGATAAAAAAAAATATTTTGAAAATGCAAAACAATTGAAATTTTTCGATTTTTTTTTCAAATATTATTTTCGTAATTTATATTTTCCAAAAAAAAATTTTAAAAAAAAATAAAAAAAATAAAAAATACCGTTTTTTACATATTCTAGTAGAATAGTAAAAATAGAATATTAGAATATTCTAGTGAAATATTAAAATATTTTACATATCTGACAAATTTAATAGAATATTCTAATATTCTAAAAATCAAATTAGAATATTTACAGTGTAATATTCTACTAGAATATATCACGTATTTAAAAAAAACGGTACTTTTTTTATTTTTTTAGATAATTAAAGTGACGAAAATAATAATTAAAAAAAGAATTTTCGGATTTTTCCTTTTATTTTGCATTTTAAAATTATTTTTAGATTGCGTCTCACGGTGTCACAAAATTATGGTTTCAAATGAACCTGAATATATATATAATATATATATATATATATATATATATATATATATATATATAATGAATAACTATATTTATTAAATATTTTTATGTAATATATTAAGAATGATATACCGAGCAATGCAAATATACATAGCTATTTTTACATATAGAAATGTAACATGAAAAGTAGATTAAAAATAGACAATAAAAACAACATTAGATTTTTGTGGTTTGTTTATTGACGCACACATCTCTAAGAATTCAATGATCATACTTGAGGCTGACTTTTAAATTCGTAATCCATTGCTATCACTAGAATGTGGGAAGAATAGCAATGATTCTAGCAAACAAACAAAAAACCTTTCGTGTCTTAATGAGTTTTATACACATCAGGTGCTAACCTGGGCCTTGGGTGCACCATCAAGGGTGCAGCCCTTTGAAGGGTCAACCCATAGGCTTCTTCCATGTTGAGGTCCCTCGGATCTAACCCATTAGCCAATTCCCAATCAAAGGCTTGAACAAGAGTTGCAGTGAGCAGTTGGACCATTCTCAACCCTAGGCTCATCCCTGCACAAATCCTTCGTCCTGCTCCAAATGGTATCACTTCAAAATCATTTCCTTTGACATCAGCATTAGGCTTTTCTCCCCCGGGCAAAAATCGGGAGGGCTGAAATTCAAGTGGGTCGGTCCACATTTTTGGGTCACGGGCTATGGCCCAAACATTTACAAGGAGTGTGGATCCTTTTGGAATATTATATCCATTGATCTCACAGATCTCGGATGCTATTCTTGGTAAGGAGAGTGGAGTGGATGGGTGGAGCCTAAAGGTTTCCTTCACAATGGCTTGAAGGAATGTTAGTTGACTTAGGTCCAATTCGGTTACAAGCCGATCTTTACCAACTACTATGTCCATTTCTTGTTGGGCTTGTTTCATTAACTCTGGATGGCGAATGAGTTCAGCTATTGCCCATTCCACAGTACTAGATGACGTGTCTGTTCCCGCAGCGAATAAGTTCTGATAAAATAATTATTTAGACAGGTTTATATGTTTAACTATATTCAAATGTCACGTTAAGGAAAAGACTAATATCATTGTCAAAGGGATTGAAATTCATTAAAAGTATATCCCTATATTTTTATTAAATTTTAATCTATTTCATTAAATGCAAGAAAACGATTTTAGATAGAAAGGACGAGGGAGTTGGTGTATACCAAATAAATTTATACAGAGTATAATGAAAAATTCAAACCAAATACTTCCATTATAGAATATGATAATATAGGCTAAAAATCCTACCATCTTAAAGATTTACACATGATCAAAAAGAGAAATATTCACCTGCTGAAACCGGTGTTGAAATGAGGGTTTTCCAATTATGTTTAGAAAAAAATACTACACCTAGACCGTAGTACAACTAAATATACTTTTTAATAAATTATGTTTTTTATATTGAGATTATTTATTATTTGGCCAAAAATATCAAGGATTAGAATAGAATAAATGACTAAACGTACCAGAAGCAAAGCTTTAATTTCGATGTCTGAAAGCTTCCCTCCCTCTCCATCGGCATCATCCTTGAGCGAAATCAAGGTACTCAGCAAGTCGACGTGACCTGACGGGCCGCCGCTACCAGTTTTATGTTCTTCAAGGATCGTGTTAAGGAACGAATCGAATCGAGTGTGGAGTTTCTTCATCTTTTTCGTGATGCCCTGCAGGTCCAACCAGTCAAGCGCCGGGATGAAGTCACCGATGTTAAATTCTCCGGCTAACACCATCAGTTCAACCACCATATCCTTGAACTCATCCGCCTTTGGATCTCCGCCGCCGCTTCCATCGCCAAATACTCTTCTACCTAACATAACTCGTGCCAATGCGTTTGTGGTGCACACATTAAGTAGCTGGCCTAATTTGATCGTGGATTTCCCGGCACCGACTAAAGCGCGCGTGAGTATCGCTACCTCCTCCTGTTGATAACAAATTAAATCTCCACATGACCACATCGGAACAGGAATCACACAAGTTTCGAATCAAACCAGATGATATCGCAAAAGTGAAAGAACAAAACCTGCCGAACGTGACGGAAATCATCAAGCGATTTGGCAGAAAACAGGTGCACTGAGCAAATCTTCCGAAGCATTCTCCACCGCGGACCGTACGGTGCGAACACCAGATCCTGATAATTATACGCCATATGTTTAGCTCCGGAGTTCGGTGGTCTGCTAGCGAAATTGGCGTCATGAGCTTTCAAAAACTGCGCAGCGACAGACGCCGACGCTACTACCACCACGTCAACAAAGCCAAGTCGGAGGTGCATCAACGGTCCGTACCTTTTCGCCAAAGCCGCCAGCGCGTGGTGCGGTATTGTGCCGAGGTGAGGTAAGTTTCCGACTATGGGCCATGGGGTTGGACCGGGCGGCAGGCGTTTTGCGTGACGCGTCCGCAGGTTTAGCAATACATACGCTGCTACCCCAGTGATGCAGGCGTAGATGATGAGGGTTAGAAGGCTCATTTTTTTACATATAAAATGGGAGCTCACTGCAAAAAGTGTGTGTGATGTTATAGTGTAAACTGTGAAGTCGGTGTTATATAATTGGCGTTTGGAGAGTTGGTAAAATGAGCGGTGGGATCGAGGGTTTTGATTCTTTGAATGTTCAAGTCTGAAACTGTGACGTAATAGTCTAAATCGATAGGAATCGCGTTTGAATGGTGGGTACCGGGTAGAATGAATGGTGACATTGAAGGTTTTGCATTTTCTCTTTCATAAAATCTGTCTACGTGGGGCTTTCTCCACGTTTCAAAGTTACAATTTACAAAGTATTTTAATAATCTAAAGTTTATCGTAATTATTTTATGTAAGGCTATTGAGTATGGGTAACATGTTAAGAAATGTTATCCTACCTAAAATTTATCAACTCACATGTCATGTCATTTTTAACACCATTTGATTTACGTAGGAAATGGTGTGCAAACGTTATAACATGTTAAGAGATACAAAAAAAGTTAGATAGAGAGTGAGATAATGACTTTTGATTGGTTAATTCTCACATTGTTTCTCATGGCTATGATAACATTTCTTAACATAACACCAAATAACATTGGGGGGGGGGGGGGGGGGGGGGGGGGGGGGGGGGGGTGTGTACAAGGCGTTATAACGTTGTTTTTTTTATTGCCACGTCTGAAAAACGCGCAAGCGTGTTGCCCGTTCCTAGCATTCTAAAGAAGCTTTTGATCTACCTGTTTGGTGGTATTTTTTATTGGGAATATGACTCATTAAAATAATTAACTTTTTGGTTTGTTCACATCTATGTAATTATTATTTTTTTATATATTTAGGTAACAAATTTTTTGAAAGTGTTCACATATAACAGTTATGACCGGTTGTATCAGGTTACATCTAGTCATAATGGTCAAAAACATTGTTACTTAGATTTATACATAAAAAAAATAGTTACCTAGATGTGAACAACCCGAAAATGTAATAATACATTACATGAATGGTCCTATAGTTTGAGGGTAATTTGTGTGTTTGGTCTCTAACTTGTTTTTTTAACTCGGATGGTCTCTACTGTCTATTTTTGTTGCGTTTGGTCCCTGTCTTACCTAAAAAGACTATTGTGTCCTTATTAGTTTATTTTTTAATTAATTTTCTTATTTATATATCTATTTTTTTATATATTTAAAAAATTAATAGACCCCACATATATCTATCTCCTCTCCCTAAACCTGATACAACATTTGAGAAATTTATTTGGGTCCCACGAGTCACCATCTTATCTCTCATTCTCCTCAACTTTTATTTTCATTCCATCTTCAGCGACATCGACGTCTTAATCATCCATTTTTTTTCGGTCCTTCAACTCCAGCGAACCAACACCACAACATTCTGTTAACAACATTCTAAGCTTTAACTCATTAAACAGTGTCATCTCTATGGATTTCTCTAAATCGAATAAAAATCTAGCATTAGAAAGATCGTCTTACCCCCTTTTGTAGCAACAATTTGTCGATTATTTCTAAGTCAGTGGAAACAAATTACATCATAAGAGAATCGACAACATTCTGGATTTGATTCCTCATACTTTAAGAGAACCAAAATCAATCGATTTATCTGCCATCGTTGTCGATTTTAATGTTCTTCTTCATATTATTGGTCTCCATTTATGATATTTTTAGTCTTGAGTAAATTAAAATTTTTATATTTAATATCTTAAACAGTAAAATTCTATAAAACGATAATGTGTTTTTTTCCATGTCAAATCTAGAGTTTTTTTTATTATCAAAATAGTGTATTTTAAAAAGATATTTATCGAAATGGTATGGTTTTAAAAATATTTATCATTTAGGTAAAATTTTATACCAAATCAAAATTAGAAGGTAAATAAAAAATAAAATAAATTGACTTATCATGTAACGAACTTTTTGAAAGTGTTCACATATGACCATTATGATCGGATGTAACCTGCTACAGCCGGTCATAATGGTCGTATGTAAACACTTCAAAAAAGTTCGTTATCTAGATGTGTACAAAAAAATAATAATTACTTAGATATGAACAAACCGAAAAGCTAATCACCTTAATAAGTCATATTCCCAAAAATTAAAATAAAAAAATTAAGCAAATATGAGACATCAATAAATATAAATACAAACTTAAATATAACCTCATATTTTATATAAATACGAGTTAATTGATATATAACTCAATTTATTATTGCGAGAACATTTGAGAACAAAATTTGACCACATAATTTTTTTAGATTAAAATCATCATATAATATTAATATTATTTGGTTTTAAGCACTATAACACTCATATGGTGCACATGCAACCCTAGATGCTTTGGAACTATGTTTTCTCTAATTATACATGCATTTTCAAATTTCCAAAGCATATAACTTAACTAGCATATAATCCAAAGTAACAACTAGTTAGATATCTTACCTTGTGTGTAGTTCTTGACCTTGGAAGCTTGAGCACCTCAAATGTTGTGCCTCTAATGTGTCACAAACACCAACATGCAAAGGAGGCTTAAGAGAATAAGACTTGTAGCTTCAAAATGGTTCTATGCTCTTGTGTACATGTGTGTAGTCGATTTTGTCACAAAAGGGGAGGCTTTTATAGTGTTTCTCAAGGCTAGGGTTTCATCCATGAAACCCTAATGCACCATGACCTTCCATATCCCTTAGGATCCATGGGTTAAAGCTCCATGGACTATCCATGAATCAATTAGCCCACCCTAATGGATCTTTGGCCCACACTATAAGAATGAATGATTTACATAATCAACCCCCTAGATTTAATTAGTCACTTTTGATCACAAAATTAATTCCAAATTAATTCTTGACCAACACTAATTAAATAATATGATTTCTCAATTAATATATTTGTAACACCCATAAATTTCACGCCAAATTCAAACTTTTTAAATCACAAATAAAAGTCAAATAGTATTGTTTACAAAATGTTTTCAAATCAATATCCATCAGAGTATCCCAAGATCATAATATAAGGATGAGGAGCGGTACGGTCACGCCTTTGCCTTGCCATGATCTCCTGATGTACCTGAAACAATAACTGAAAACTGTAAGCCCAAGGGCTTAGTGAGCTACCCCCAAAATACCAATACCACACTAACAATACCATATCAGTAACAATCAATCAAACAATCATGCATACTGGGCCATCGGCCTGACTGGACCGCCCTACTGGGCCTGCAGTCTATCTAAATCTATCCTGAGCCTTCGGCATGACTGGTCCGCCTCGTGGGCCTGCAGTCTCCCCGGACCGCTCATAGGGTATGTTGGCCTACAGCACAAAGCAGGACCGCCTCAACCCAAACGACAAACAAATAACCATGTTCGCATAACTATCATGTGATGGCATATACAAAATCAAACATATCTGACACACTGATCATCAGCTATAGAATCATCTCGTAACTAGAGTACCGACCTAGCAGGTCACTAACATACTAATCCTTACGGATCATAAAAGCATAACATACTATCTATCCTGATTCCGATCTAACAGATCAAATACATATGTAGCATACCATAACAACCGATCTAACCGATCTCTAGCATAGCAACCATCCTAAACCAGGATGAAATCTAACATAGCAACCATCCTAAACCAGGATGAAATCTAGCATAGCAATGACATGGCAACCATCCTAAACCAGGATGTAATCTAGCATAGCGATAACATAGCAACCATCCTAAACCAGGATGTAAACCATAAAGGGCCGGCATTCGTGCCGTAGACCCTATCGATATAGTGAAGATAACTCACCTCGCAGATGTCGATTCGGAAGATAAACTCCAACTCTCGGATCACTTGACACAGGCTCCACCACCTATGTCCATAATACAATATACCCATAAGTCCTTAACCTTATAAGGTATTCTATAACCCACCAGTCAACCCCTGGTCAAAGTCAAAGTCCTCAGTCAAGGTCAACAGTCCATGTTGACCCCAACTCGCCGAGTACCCTAGGCTACTCGCCGTGTGCCTTGAAGCGCATCCCACTCGCCGAGTCATCGGGGTGACTCGTCGAGTTCCATCTATTTTCGTACAAACTCTCAGGCCATCTGTCGAGTTCCCTCCTTGCAACTCGACGGATACACACGCATGCATATCCTAGGGAAAATCCATCCGACTCGCCGAGTTGTTCTTCAACTCGTCGAGTTTTATGGTGATCTTCATTGGACTCGCCGAGTTGTTCATCCAACTCGCCGAGTTCATGACCATCTTCATGTGAATCGCCGAGTCATCCTTGCGACTCACCGAGTTCATCCAGTCCTCTTTCCATACAGACTTGTTTTGAGCCATGCAGCGGCTCCAAATTACAGATCCAAGCTTCTAGGGCATACTTACCACGTAAAGTTGCAAACTTTACGTGCATGCATGGTTATAAAGGCTCCAAATGTCTATTCTAAGTTCTTAATGGAGCTTCAAGTCCAAGAGAGACCTCAATCACAACCAATACATCAACTTTATGATTCTAGCATCCAAGGAGGGTCCAGATCTGAAGTTACAACTTCAGATCTAGCCCATAGCTCATCATCCCAACTTGAAAATCCATAAAAGCCCTAGAACTCAACAAAAGGGAAGAAAAGGAAGTAAGAATGGCACTTTGATACCTTCAAAAGATGCTAGCTGAGGCAAAACCTGCTTCCCACTCCTTCCTTGCTTCAATTTCCTTTGCACTCTTAGCTTCCTTCCTCCAAGATCCTCTTTTCCAAGCTTCAAACCTACACCAAGGCACACACACACGAATTAGGGTTTTAAGGGCTCTCAAAGACTGTAAGGAGGCCCAAAGGAGGCTGAGGCTCCTTTAAATAGGGGTGCAAACCCCGGAATTTAGGGTTTCATCTGCCAGCTCCTACTCGCCGAGTCCCAAAGTGGACTCGCCGAGTAGGTCACTAAACACGTGTTCCCACCCCGCTGCTACTCGACGAGTAGGTCGGCCAACTCGTCGAGTAGAGCTTCATCCAGAAATTATTAATTAATTAATACCTGAGGATCGGGGCGTTACAATATTATACTTATAATA